GACCTCGCTAAAATGCTAAGGCTAACCTCAAACTTGTGATCTTCCTGCCTCAGCCTCCTGAATTTCTGGGATTATAGGTGTGTGCCACCATGCTGGGCTAGCTGGATGTTCTTAATGAGAAAAAGAAACTGCTCCTTAAATATTTTTAAAAATATGTAGGCTGTGGGGCTGGGGTTGTGGCTCAGTGGTAGAGCACTCATCTGGCACATGCGAGGCCCTGGGTTAGATCCTTAGCACCACATAAAAATAAATAAACAAAAAAATAAAATAAAATAAAACAAAAATACAGAAAAACAGTGAGCGATCGAGCAAGAGAGAGAGAGAGCAAAATGGAGGAGAAATTTCATAGRTAAGTTTTTAAATCTAATTTTAAAATATCCTAATTAAAAAATATCATGGAAAAGTGAATACTATGTTTTGATAACCTAAATAAAAGTTTTAAATATTTTTAGATATGCTAATGGTGTTGTTATACCTTTTTAAAATAATTTAATAATTATTATTTATTATTAAATTATTAAATAATTTAAGTATTTCTCTTTATCTTTTGAAGATACTAAATGAAATATTTATAAAAAATAAAAAGCAATGGGGTCAAGTGATCATGCATTGAACTTCCAAAGAGATGAGCTAAATAAATCTCTTCTCTTCAAAGGTGATTCTCTCAGGTATTTATTATAATGACAGCTGATGAATCACATGATCTTACCATTACTGTGAAAAATACCTAGGAGAATAAAATTAAAAAGAAAACAAGTTTATTTTGGCTCAGTTTCAGAAGTTTCAGTCCATGAACAGTTGGCTCTGTTGCTTTGGGGCCTGTGGCAGGGTGGAACATCATGGATCACATGGCAGCATGTGATAGAGAAAAGCTGATCACTTCAAGCTGGCTGGGAAGGAAGAAGACAGGAGAGGCCAGCATCCCAGTATCCCATCCAAGGGCATGCCTCCAATGACCAAACTTTCTTCCACTAGGTCACACCACTCAAAAGCATCATAGGCTGAGGACCAAGCCTTCAGGGACCATTAGGGGACATTCAAGATCCAAACTATAGCAGCAGATTAGGACACAATCTCCACTGAATCAGAAATCAATAGATTTGAGGGGATGATTTCCAAGATCAATTTATAAGCACAACTTCACACAACATTTATACTCATGGCTCTGAGGCTAACRATAATGCTCACCAAATCTGTTGCTGCCCTGTTGGATCTATGCCTGTAGAGGGTTCATCCAGAAGCAAGATGGGCGAATTTCCCAGGATGCTCAACACAAAACATAGCTGCAATGCAGAGAAACACCCCTGTTTGGCTTCATGCCATGCAAGCCCTGAGAAGAACATCAAATATCACACGTACCTTTTTGGTGGTTCCTGATGCTAATTTCTGCACTGGAACATTTAGCTGCTCATACAGGTTGAAAGCATTCACTAGTCTGATAGAAAACAGGATAAGCATATGAGGTCAAGCAAGAATTTCTGGAAAATGCAAGCCTATAATCCTAACAGAACTGAAGGAACTCATGGAAACACTATTCTCAAAATGCTAAGTCATGCCCTAAACTCAAAGTCATGATAAAGAAAAAACCTCTTCCGTTTTGGAACATAATATTTTTCACCTTATAAAAAAAGTTTTAAAGAAAAACTAGAATTCTAGAAATCTGAGTGAGAAACTGAAAATGGATGTTTATTCAGTTTCCAGTTTTTTATTAGAAAAACTGAAATGAATGGTTATGCATGATTTCATTAACTTATTCCTTGGCAATAATTTATATGATCATTTTTAAAAATTCCCTCTTTCAGGGATGCAGGAAACCATGTCTTGTCCTTCATCCTTGTTCTACCACCAATGCCCTGAAAAGGTGTAAATGCCTTCCCACTCTCCACTCTTTATTAGTGAGTTCATCATCAATGATACAGCTTCCCTGCCTCTTGGCAAAAAGGAATCGCAGGACCTCTCTGTACCGTGAAATGACAATGGCAGCGTCCTCTTTCTGCAGCCCTTTCACGGTGGCATACACCTCCAGGTGTTCCTTCATTGTCAGGGTGGGCCACAGCACATTC